CTTAGCTAGACTAAGAGCAAAAGAGAAAAGACTCAAATAAAATAAAAAATGAAAGAGAAGACATTACAACTGATGTCACAGAAATAAAAAAATATCATAAGGGACTATTATAACAATTGTACTCTAACAAATTGGGCAACTTGAAAGAAATGAATAATTCCTAGAAACATACAATGTACCAAGAATAAATCAAGAGAAATAGAAAGCCTGCGCAGACCAATAACAAATAAGGAGATTGAATCAGTTACCAAAAATCTCCCAACATAGAAAAGCTCAGGGCCAGATGGCTACACAGGTGAATCTTACCAATGATTTAAAGAAGAATTAATACCAATTCTTAAGCTGTTAACAAAAAAATAGAAGAGGGAATACTTCCAAGTTCATTTTATGAAGCCAGCATCACCCTGATACTAAAATTAGGCAAAGGTACCACAAGAAAAGAAAATACAGACCAACATCCCTGATAAACATGGAATCTTCAACATACTATTAGGAAACTGAATACAATAGCACATTCGAAGAATTATACACCATGACCAAGAAGGATGTATTCCTGGGATGCAAAGATGTTTCAACATACGCAAACCAACAAATGTGATATACCACATTCACAGAGTAAGGGACAAAAATCACATGATCATCTCAAGAGATAGAGAAAAAGCATTTGACAAAATTCAACACTCTTTCATGATAAGAACTATCAACAAACTAGGTACAGAAGCAATTTAGGTCAACACAATAAAGGCCACAGCTAACACCATACTCAGTGATTAAAAAAAAAAAACCAAAGTTTTCCTTTAACATATACAACAAGGCAAGGATACCCACTCTCCCACTTCTATTTAACATAGTTCTAGAAGTCCTAGCCAGAGCTATTAGATAAGAAAAAGAAAAGCCATCCAAATTGTAAAAGAAGAAGTAAAATTATCTGTTTGCAGATGACATGATCTTATATGTAGAAACCCCTAAAAGACTGAAGAAGACAAAGCAAAATAAAACAAAACAAAACAAACCTTATTAGAACTGAGAAGTGAATTCAGTAAAGTTGTAAGACACATTATCAACCTATAAAAACATTGCATTCTATAAACTAACAGCAAACTATCTGAAAAGAAAATTAAGAAAATAATCCCGCTTACAATAGCACCAAAAAATAAAATAAAACACTTAGGAATAAACTTCAGCAAGGAAGTGAAAGGCTTTTATAGTGAAAACTATGAAACATCAGTGAAAGAAATTAAAACACAGACAGATGGAAAGACATTCCATGTTTATGGATTGGAAAAATTAATGTTGTTTAAATGTCCATACTACCCAAAGTGTTCTACAGATTCACTGCAATCCCTATCAAAATCTTAATGATATTTCTTGGACCTTGAATAACTGAAGCAATCTTGAGAAAGAATAAAGCTGGAGGCATCACAGTGTCTGATTTTAAGATATACTGCAAAGGTGCAGTAATTAAAACAGCAAGGCACTGATGTAAAATATAAGCTTATATACCAATGGAACAGAATAGAGAGGCCCAGACAGAAACCTGCAGGTATATGGCCAACTGATCTTTGACAAGGGTGCCAAGTAGACACAATAGGGAAAGGATAGCCTCTTTAATAAATGGTGTTGGGAGGACTGGATATATGCATGAAAAAGAATGAGATTGGATCCTTATATTGCCATTCACAAAAGTTAACTCAAAACTCATTAAACACAAGACCCAAAACGATAAAACTCCTAGAATAAAACAGAGAAGGGCGCCTGGGTGGCTCAGATGGTTAAGCGTCTGCCTTCGGCTCAGGTCATGATCCCAGCGTCCTGGGATCGAGTCCCGCATCGGGCTCCCTGCTCCTTGGGAGCCTGCTTCTCCCTCTGCCTCTCTCTCTCTCTCTGTCTCTGTTAAGCGCTGTGAATTGTGCAGGACTGTTGAATCTCAGATCTGTACTTCTGAGACAAATAATGCAAGACATGTTAAGAAAAAAAAAGAAGAAGAAGGTAGCGGGAGGGGAGGAATGAAGCGGGGGAAATCGGAGGGGTGGACGAACCATGAGAGACGATGGACTCTGAAAAACAAACTGAGGGTTCTAGAGGGGAGGGGGGTGGGAGGATGGGTTGGCCTGGTGGTGGGTATTGAGGAGGGCACGTTCTGCATGGAGCACTGGGTGTTGTGCGCGAACGATGAGTCATGGAACACTTCATCTAGAACTAATGATGTAATGTATGGGGATTAACATAAGAATAAAAAAAAAAACATAGAGAAAACCTTGACATTGGTCTTGGCAGTGATTTCTTGGGTATGACACCAAAATCACAAGCAGCAAAAGCAAAAATAGACAAGTGGGACTGCATCAAACTAAAAAGTTTCTACACAGCAAAAGAAACCAACAAAATGAAAAGGCAACCTGTGGAGTGTGAGAAAATATTTGCAAACTATATATTTGATAAGGGGTTAATTTCCAAAATATATAGGGAACTCCTACAACTCAATAGCAAAAATACAACTAATCTGATTTTTAAAATGGGCAAAGGAGTGGCACAGACATTTGTTCAGTGAAGGCATACAAATGGCCAACAGGTATATACAAAATGCTCAACATTGCTAATCATCAGGGAAATGCAAATCAAAACCACAATGAACTATCATTTTCACTTCACACTTGTTAGCATGGCTATTACCAAAAAGTCAAAAAGATAAGTGTTGGCAAGGGTGTGAAGAAATTGGAACCCTTGTGCATGGTTGGTGGGAATTTTAAATTGGTGCAGCCACCATGAAAAACAGCATAGAGATTCCTCAAAAAATAAATACAGAGCTACCAGAAATCCCACTTCTGAGTATTCATCCAAAAAAAAATAGAAATCAGGATCTCAAAGATATGTCTGCAGCATTATTCACAACAACCAAGATATGCCCATGGGTAACAATAAAATATTGTACACTTAAAAATTTGTTAAGAGGGTAGATTTCATGTTAATTGTATTTTTCCCATGTGCACACATACAAAGGGACACAAGATTTGAAAGTGGTATATTTATTACCTTGTTTTAATGGTAACATGAATTTATACATACGTCCGAACTCATCAAAGTGTATACCTTAATTATATAGTTTTTATGTGTATCAATTATACCTCAATAAAGCTGGGAATAATATACTAACAACTGAGACTTTCTTTATGGATGATCAGAAGTGTTGAAAAAGAAATAAAAGTAAATACCCCCACCCCCCAAAAATCAGACAGTTTAGCCACTTGAATGATATTTATAAAAATGAATAATGTTTAACTTCCTGTATTGTTTTTAAATCTGGTAAAAATTTGCCATTTTAAGAGCATCATTTGGTAAGAAAAGCAGAAAAGCCACACTCTTGAACTCATAGAAGCTTTTCTCACTACTATTTATAGCTTCCCATTAATCACATGAAATATAAAACCCTTTATTTCTGAAGCATAGTAAGAAATGCTTTTTAAAAAATAATGGGTACTTAAAATTAAAAATGAATACCTGAGGGAGATTATCTGAGTTCTTTTATTAAGAAAAAAAGTTAATCATAAGATAGAAGAATAGTCTCAGATCTGGTTGGGATTGTTTTTCATTGATTGTGTTACCATCAAACTTATAAATTCCTTGATGTTGAAGTTGTTGAATATTGTGAGAGTATTTTTGGCTGTACTTTGTGGAACCAGTTCAATGCAGTCTTTATAGGGTGTGAACATGGCACTTAAACTGTATTCTCTTGATCAGTCTATACAATTATCATTTTGTTAGCTACATGAGCAATTATTAGTTTCTCTAGTATGACAAAGTTGTACATATTTTTCTTGTCCATGTGGTTAATTCTGCTCTCTAAGAAATAAGTTTTGCCTTGACATACTATGCTCTTGGTCTGTCCCTGATCTGTTAACTTGATCCCCCAAGTACTTCAGGTTATGAAGGAGTTTTATTGGTAATCAATGGACATGTTCTTGAACCCAGTTTTTCTGTGATGCTATTTTTCTATGATTCTATGATACATAAATACTCAGTGATTTTACAGAAGTAGACCAAAGTCTTCTTGTATACTATCTCCTAAGAGTACCATTATGCTTGCTTATTACTAGATATGACCTGCATGCTAATTATATATGAAAAGTCATAGAAGTTATTATTGTTGAGAATATAATCTAGATACCCAGAATGTAGAACACAATAGAAAAAAAGAGATATAATAGAATATAACATTCATAAAATTCTCCTGTAAATTACTATTATTTAGTGAGAACTCTGATAAACTTCAAGTACTAGGTTATGTTCTTATTATATACCTAATTTTTGTCTTTGTTTGGTATCCTTTTTCCCATCTTTCATCAATTTAACAAATATTAAGAACTTGAACTATGGATCTTCTATTGCATTTTTTTTTATTCAGGTGAAATTCACATAACAAAAAAGTAACCATGTTGAAGGTTAGTTCAGTGACATTCAGCACATTCACAATGTTGTGCAACCATCACCTATGTCTATTTAAAACAAAAAATACTTATGATTATTCCTGCCACTCTTAAAACTGTATTATAGATTGAGTAGCATGCATGCAATTTCTTTATTAACAATACAGAGGCATGTGATCTTGATCTTGAAGGCAAGGAAATAAAGTTTAGTTAGCTTAAGTAATTTACTGAAGATCATACACATAATGTTGCTTAGCCAGGATATCTCTTTCAGCAAGCTATATCCATTCTTTTGGGTTAAACATATCTGCATCCAGCTCACCTAGTATTAGTGAATGAATTTCTAAGGCAGGTAGGCATGTCTGTGTGCTGGCATGTGGCAAGGTTGCTGTTATTCTAGTGTGCTATTTCAGAAAAATATATTATTTGAGAGCTTGCATAATATAGACTCCTAACATATGCTTAAATATTTTCTTGAGATTAAAGGTTTGTTGACAGTTGCAATTATATTTAGCAACCATCACATACAGAGGAACTGTTTTATTTTCTGTGGTATTCTTTATCTTTTCATCGCTTTAGATATGCCTCTTCTGTAAAAGACGGTTCCCAGTATTTTGTGCTCCTGATTGTGACAGATGGTGTTATCTCGGATATGGCTCAAACCAAGGAGTCCATAGTCAATGTGAGTAGGGGTCATTCAGTTTTGGGCTGGCTAAGTGACAGCATGGTGCTATTTAGGTTGAATAAGCAGAGTTTACTTTAGTTGACTTAATAGTGAAACAAAATGCCCATGCCTTTGCCGCTGATTGCATTCTTAACCTTATCCAGACAACTCAAATGCAAATGTACCATCAATCCTTAAGGACTAACCTGAGAGATGTCGATAACTGAGGTGTAACAAAATTATTTCCCCCCAAAAAATAAAAATAAATGAGATGATAGCATCACCTTCATGTGCATGAGTGAATTTACCACTACTAGTTGGATGTCCTTGTACACAATCTTACAATTTGTACAGAGTATTTCTTAATATTCACATTTCAGTTACAAGAGAACTGTACTGACATTCTTATTTCTATAGAACTGGAAGAGACTGGACTTGATTCACAAACTATTCTTTTTGTCATAATTCCTAGTTATTTATTTTTATGATTATTTGATTGTCTTCTTTATAAGACTATAATCTATAAAATCTATGTTTACTAGACTGTAATCTATAGAATTATATCTTATCTTGCTATTCGAAGTTTAGCAATGTTTGGCATAAAGTTGGCATTTAGTAAAAATGGGTTGCATGAATGAATTGCTTATCATATCTCATAACAGGGAAAATATACTTAGCTATTTGGTGGAGGGAAAAAAGGTACATGTGGGGAAAAAATTATAGACATATACTTAGAAAAACCATACATAAAAAGCAGTAGAGCTAAAGGCTTACACATTTATTTGTTATTTTTTAACTAGACACACGGGTTGAATTCATCTTGATTTTCTTTATGTTCTGGTCAGTGGCATTAGTGTGCACTTGAAAATAGGAACTTAATAATTTAGGCTTAAACTAACAGGACATGATGTACTGAGGAATAATGATTCATAATTTGATGAACTTCATAGCTGCAGATGTGGTCATGTCAGCTTTCCATCTCTCTGTTGCCAGATCTCACATTCTGAACATTAAATTATTTAAAATGATTACATAGTGTAAGTGATACCTATGATGGGAAAACATGCTTTTACATCAAATATTCAGTATCCCTCACAATCTCATGGATATTTAATACATAAATTAATTATTCTAATAACTTTCTGTAATTATTATTTGTATTCACTCATTTACTGCGAAAATCGCTTTTCCAACCATTGGGTGTAAATGAGATAGAGGAGGGTACTACTGTTTGACAACTATAGTACCTTTTTTCCCCATTTAGCAACTGAAAGATTTTTGAGAGGAGCAAGAACGTGAATAAAGTGACCAAAGATACCCAAAGTCAGCTTAGGGAGATGTTGGCTGAGAATAGCAAGTGAAAGCAGATGAGCAATACTTTTTTATTTTTTATATTGTCCAAGGCCAGTCATTCCTGAAGAACGTCCCACTGAATAAGCATGTGTACAGAGTTCAAAAAGAATGAGTAGAATCGAACATATTATTCCGTGTTAATTTTAAATATGTTCAAACCTATTTTAGTGAACATCTTGAAAAAATATCAAAGCAGTATATTATTTTCTTCTTAAACCTCAATTCTTTTCTTAAGAACTCAGTCTCTTAATTGTGAACTACTTGTGTATTCTCTTTGAAGGCTTCAAAACTTCCAATGTCGATAATTATAGTAGGTGTTGGACCAGCAGAATTTGATGGTGAGTAATAAAAGTTCCGTAGTATTCCTTGGGGGTTTATTTACTCTGATTCATTATGCTCTAAGATTCCTATCACTCTTTCTTGTATATAAGAATGTGAATATGAATGTGGATCTGCATATAATGTCCATGTACATATAGACATAAATACAGATTTCTCATGATGAAGTCTATTAAGTTGAGCAAATGAAAAGATTGTCTTCTGATAGGGCATTATCTCTCTGGTATAGATTAATTCAACATGTAGCTTTCTATTTCATTAGAGATGGTTTGCATCTCAAAATAATATTTTTTATGACTGGCAGAGTGATAAATTGAGTTGTTGTTCCCAAGGCAAAATACACTCTGGGTTCACTAAAAACCTTTGAGGTTAAACCCTAAATTAATAAACCATTAGGTTGTGAAGAGAGATGTTAGCACAAGCATAATATGCTACTTTAATGGGTTTTCAGACACTGGCTAGTTGATAGATACTAGCTTTATAAATATATAAGTTCCGTCATATGAAAGAGCAAAGTAAAATGAAAATGGAACTGACCATCTGAGATTTAATGACATTTTATAAAATTATGCTAAATTGAGTGACTGGGTAGTTCTGAGTTTGGGCTTAGGCCTTGTTCAAATGCCAGTTAAGTGACAGGTGGTTGTATAACAGTGATCTGGGTAAATTCTTTAAGGATAATCTGTTCCTAGTCATCTGGTGAATTCCTTTCAGGAGAACTCTGTGGCGACTGCATGATCACCTAGCATTCACCTGCTTCAGGTGTTTTGACATTAACAATGACAGTTTATTTAGCTTGGGACTTTGGAAATGAGAATAATTTTAGAATATTTGGAACAACCGCTGGTACATTACAGGTTAATTTAGGCATGTACATGGTTAATTATATTACGATCATCACTGGGATGATTCTCATTGAACCACCAGAGCCTCTTCCGTAAGGATAGTATAGATCTGCCAATCTCAGAGAAAGCACCACACGCAAAGTTGTTATATTGCTGACCCTCGAAATTCTCTCCTTCAGTTCCATGCTTGGTTGGTCATGCTTTGCATCATTAGAATCTTCCAGTGTCTAAAGCAAAAGTCATTTACCTCTGCTGCTGCTTCTGCTAGTATTTTTTCGGCCTCTGAATATTCACATCTGTTTGCATTGTACTTCAGGCATGAATTTGAGACATCCTCTCTGGAGTCAGGAAAGCTAAGAGATCTTTCTTGTTAATGCTTTGTGCACTTGATCATCTGCATTAATCAGTGATAGACTGTGATTCATGAACTTCACTGATGGCTAGGGTAAACTAACTCATGCCTTCTCCTTCGGTTATTAATTTGCTTTTGCCTCAAGGACGCACCTTTCATTGGGTAGATCCCAGGTCAGGTCTCCCCGAATCCTGGAAGTCTGTGGTTAGGTGTATGACCTAACCTCAGTCACTCGTTCCTCAAGAGCCTGCACACATCATGTGTGAACACAGAGCCACTGACCCATCCTGGTGTCTATTTCTGCTCATATATTTCTATTCAAAGCAGCAGGCACTACCCTCATCCAACTGCCACAGCTATTTATTTTCTTCATTTCTTTGGTTCCCAGTGAATTATTTATTAGGGTTTTAAGATATGATAATTCATCATTTTCCTCTCTGACTTCCCAAACTGAAAAAAAAAAAATATGTAGGATTCACTCAGAGACCACAATATAAACTTTTTATTACTAACAATACAGCATTTGAGAATTTGGGTTAACCTCTGCACAGAATCAGACTTGTCACTCTTTTTCCACCAAGGTTAAGTGACTTCAGTCTTATCGCCAGGCGTCCTCTCTACAAGGGCAGAGCCTGGCCTATTAATCACGGCACAGGGAGAAATTACATTCAAACTGAGGATAGGCTGCTCCTAGTGAGAGGGATTTCAAAGTCAGTCCCTTCTTCTCATTTTAGTAATCCCATGAATCAGTCAGTCATCTTTCCGCGTGGAAAAGAGAGTGAAGATTGTAGACAAAGAGGGAAGTTGCCTTCCCAGTAGAATTCCTTCCTAGGAATTAGGGTGACACTTTCCTCTGGCAAACATGGGGACAGGGAATTAGGGTCCTGCGACACCTGCCTTCAGCTTTCACCATGATAAAAGTTTTAATAGGATGGAAACTCTTCCAGAACAGTACTAGACAAGTAGATGTTCCACTAGGAAACACAGATGCTTCTTTAAAGTATTTTTCTTTCTCTTCTCTCAAAATACCTCTCTACTCTCCATGGCTAATAAGAAAAGGACAGAATACTCATGTTTCTTATAGAAAATCTGTGACTTACATTCAGCTTGTGCTGTCCTGTCAAGAAGAGCCTTTCTGTTGGCACTTCCAAATCTACTGTAGAGTAAGTTTATATATCACACATAGAAACCGACATAAGGAAAGACTGAGATAAAACTTGCACATTTTATCAGTTAACCACCTAAATCCAACATCTATAAACTTTCAACAAGAAAGATTGTTTGCATGGGCAAGAAAGGCAGACTTGTCATCTGTTCTTTGAAGGTAGAGGAATTTGGAATAAACTATTATATTAATGTGTATTCAAATGTCTCGTTTCTGTATTTTAATAAGAACAATTTAAAACTCTCTGTGTAATTTTCCCCCAGTGATTTTTCACTCCTCTATAAAGCACTTTCATTGAGAGGAAAGGTTTCTCAAGGCAGGATTTCTTTATCCTTAAAAGGCAAAAAGTCAAATTAAAGCAGCATCGGGCTACCTGCTTTGATCTGAGTTAGTAGAAGGGGAGAAATAGAAAGAGTTCTAATCTCATTATGTCTCCCACAGCTAGAAAGAAGTGCAATTCTCTCTCTTATAAATGTTTTTTTTTTCCAAGGAGAAGTACTTGTGGAGAACTGGGACTTACAGTCTCAGGCTCCTTGTGGAGCAGATGAAAACCCGAAGGGTCAACAGGACCCTTCCACCATTTCCACATTGTGTCTTTTCTCCTTGCTCTCAAAAGCATAGCCTCAGATTCTTGCTCCCTGCAGCTTTTTAACCCCAAGGACATGCTGAAAAGTGGGCAATATTTTATAGGATCACATTCTAATACATTATTGCCTGAGTAACTGTCATTTTCCTTAATTGGAATGAAACATTCACAAAGACCGATGGAAATTGCAGGGGATTGTGGAAGGTGAGATCCAGATTATCATCAAATTCTTGTGTTCTGTTAGAGAGTAAAGGAGAACTTCCTGCAATTGCTGGCTTTTCGCTGTCACAGTACATTTATGTCTCAAAGTCGTATGAAAATTTTGAAAGCAAAACTAAACCAAAGGAAGGAATTAACTATTGAAAGTATTTGAGCATAATGACTTCTCCTATTTACATTCCTACTAAGTATGGAAGAAAAATAGCTCTTTTGTAATTTTCTTCTTCTCCTTCTCTTCCTCCTCCTTCTTCTTGTTCCTCCTCTTCCTCTTCTTCCTCTTCATCCTCTTCTTCTTCTTAATTCCAGTTAGTTTAGATACAGTGTAACACTAGTTTCAGGTGTATAATATAGTGATTCAACACTTCCATATTACACCTGGCGCTCATCTCGACAGGTGCACTCCTTAATCCCCATCACCTAGTTCCCCCTTCCCCTCCACCCACCTCTCTTCTGGTAACCATCAGATTGTTCTCTTAATTAACAGTCTGTTTCTTGCTTTGTCTCTCTCTCTCTCTCTTTTTCCCTTTGCTCATTTGTAGATCTTTTGTATTTTAAATAAGTTAATTTCCTTATTATTGATAATATACACATTTATTAAATTATGACATATATTGTATGTCTAAGCAAATTATGGAGTGGTGGCTCTATCATTTATGACCACTTGTTTCAGCCCAGACATTGGCTCATGAACATGTGTAGAAAAGTAAAATTTAAAACAATGTTTTTAACCCAGATGCATTATCTAAGCACTGAAGAAAATAATGAAAAGGTGAGGATTGTATTCTGACTGAGCAGTAGTTTTTGGAGGGTGAAGAGGCAAACATTATAATTGCAAGTGGCCCTCTGGAGTCTGGTGAATGTCATGTGCATACAAAATGAATTATAAGTAATAGAATTATACTTTAAACACAAATTAGCATTCCTCATATAATTAATTATTTAGAGAATTCTCACTGAAAACTTAATAAACTCTGGAAATGTTCTTAATTGCAGCATAACATTACTTTATTACCAGCTGTCCATTTATATCACAGCATTCACAAATACCAGCTGATCTATCTAATGTTGAAATTATTTCTTAAACCACAAAAAAAAAAAAAAATCACGCTTCAGAAAGCCATACTTTATCCAATCAATGTAGGGCAGAGCAAATCCCTCTTTGTCTTAAAATCCATTAATAAAGTAGAAGTTGGGCAATATGGATACATAGCTTTGTTGTAGTTTCAGTGAGAATAAAGTTCAAATTGTTTGGAAATTCTGTGATTAGAGCCAAGTTTCTTAAATGAGAAGACAAGAGTTTAATGGATTAGCATCACTTGCCCGATCAGTCATGTAAGCATATGACCCAGAATTGAGAACCTCTAGGATGGGGAGCTATACCCATACTACACTGGCTCATCCATCCTGCAAAGGGTCACATGGGGTCTTGGCTAGCTTTCTTCAGTTTTAAAATTTAAGTTTCATGGCAGAATGACTGAGGAGATGAAAGGATCAACAAGCTTCCTGCCTTGACACAGGATGCATTGCCACTTCAGACATCTTGATTTCCTATCGCCTACATTGTTTAAGTACATGGTGGAAATGCACTGGATAAATGGTCTTATTTTATTTTCAAGCGATGGTTGAATTGGATGGAGATGATGTAAGAGTTTCCTCCAGGGGAAAATATGCGGAAAGGGATATTGTACAGGTAAGAAATTTAATGGAAATTAATTATTTAGTTCATTGTGAGGAACCTGTCAGCTCTGATTTGTAAATAAACAAATTACACTGAAAGCAGGACTTTCAGGTTCTGCTTAATTTAGTCGGTTGATTCTCTATGAGATGCATGGCAAGTAGGCCCTAGAATAAGTACCCAGTGACTCTCTTGTATTTCAGTTTCACTATATATAAAATAGAAATGTTAATAAATGTCTTTTCCTACTTTAATATTACCAGAAAGTATCATTGAGATCTTTGGTAAAATTAGAAGCTAGAAACATGAGAGACTTTTTAATGATGCTTATCTATTCATTGTTTAGTCCTCAACAAAGACTAAATGTATTTTAACACACCTGATTATATTTCAGTGTAAATAAATTTAGTGGTAACAAACCAAAACTAGATATTTTTATATTTCTCCCTAGATTATGGTTAGAAAAGTGGAGAAGTAGATCTTAAAATTATATATAAATATAGAAATTTATATAAAAATATAAATTATATATATACTTTATATGTAGTTATATAGAGATGATATATGATATATAATCATATAATAATATATATAATATAAAATATCACATAATAATTTATGTTGTATATATGATTTACACTTGTTAAAATCAAGAAAAATACATAACTAAAGCCTACTATTCTGGGAGTGAATAGAAGGGAGGCAGCCAATCAATATAGTTCAAATTTATCATTGAAAGCAAGTAGTTAATTCAACTAAATGGCTACTTATTAGAGTTTCCATATCTTTAGGTTTTACAAGGGAAAAGCAGCTGTGAGGTGTACCTTTTTAAAATGGAAAGCAAAGGTCTCAGCACACGTTATGAAAGTTTTGAAGGAGCAAACAATGGACTTCAGTATTATTGCCTTAATAACAACCTATACATTCACCCAAAGAACAGTCATTAAGAGAATCCCACAGAATTCGGAATCCTGCAGAATTTAATTCAAATCCCAAATTATTCACCGTGATAACTTGAATGAGCTTTCTAAATTTCAGTGTTCTGGTATTGTTGTAAAGATTAAGAAAGATCATGTAGATAAAATACATTTCTGAAATAGAACTCAGTAAAAGACAACAAAAATTGATTAAAATACTTTGAGGGAGAAATATAAAATAATCTGTAAATTTGTTAGTATAAAGATTAATATTGATAAAGATTTTAAAAAGCATTGTTCTTTATCAGGCAGCAAAAATAAATTTTAAAATAGAAACATCTGTATAACGGCTTTTTTAAAAAGATAATTAAATATGACTTAAACTTCTTAACCTAACATTCTTGGTAGAGTAAAAAGCACACACATGAATGATTAGGTTAAAAGCGGCTAAGAAAAGGAACAGGATGATGTGGTCATTTATTTAAGTATCCCATGGTGTTTTGTTTTCATAATTAGACACATGATTATTCACCTTAACCTTATTAGCATAATTATAGGTCTAAGTAATTACACTTTATCTAAAAGCTCTTCATAATGTCTGATTCACAGTTTCCAAAAAATCAAATTACTGAAGGGAAGTATGAAGTTCTTGGGAATGTGTTATGTTGCTATTGTAATGCATTTTTACAAAATCAGTAAAGGCATGCTCATATCTCATGGAATCATGATGATGCTTAAGGGAAACGTGTTACTATTTCTTCTGTAAAGGGTAGTTAAGATTGCCCACATGGTTAAGGTTTCCTTTAAGAGGAATGATCTGTTATGTTAGTGACAAGCAACAGTCATGCCTATTAGCATTTATAAAATAAAAATGTCCTTGATTGTGAAAGTAGTTAGTCTCTCAACAGATGTACTACATTGGGCAGAATATTGAGATTGGATCCAGATCTATGAAATTATAATATTGCCACTCTGATCTTGAACAAGTTAGTAAATCTCTCTGAGCCTTCATTTCATTATCTCTAGACTTTAAATTCTTTCATCTTCTCTTTTCATGATGTTGTGAGTCTCAGAGGAAGTAAACATGAAAATATTACGTATCAGTATAAGGTATATATTCATATAATCATGTTTCTTCTCCTTGAAAGTCAGAGTCCTTGAGACCAGTCTCCCACCTTACAGTAACACTGGGATCCCCAAAAGATCCTGAAGACACCTGGGGATATAACTAAATACTCAAGGGATTCTACCACATAAAGTTGAACTGAAGAGTTGTTGGATCTTACAGACACCGAATAAGAAATTAAAATGTCTCCAGAAAATTAGTAGCCTCCTGAATGACTGTGACATCTTGACTTACATGCCTACATTTACTTAAGGGGATTTGATCGACCCTTTTCTGATTTCATGGAGAAGTTCCTAAATGTTGATTGGTCTTTTAACAATAGTAAGCAAGGTAACCATTTACATATCACATTGTTTTGAAGAAGAATTAGCATTCTCTCTCACCTCAAGTAAGGTTTTAAAAACATTCCGCCATCACAGATGGGTGCCTGGGTGGCTTCAGTTGGTTAAGCATCTGACTCTTGATTTCAGCTCAGGTCATGGTCTCAGGGTTGTGAGACCAAGCCCCGCTTTGGGCTCTGCACTGGGTGTGGATCTTGCTTAGGATGCTCTCTCTCCCTCTGCCTCTCCCCCCTCTAAAAGAAATAAAAAATAAAAATATCCTACCATCACAGTTTTCCAGGTTTCACCATCCAGTAAAATGTTTTTTAAATGAGTTATTTTCAAGAATAGAAATATTCTTGAATATTTAGAATAATGGGGTCACAAGAGCACACCAAGGATAAAACTGTCAATCTCCATCATCAGAAAATATCTAAGCCATCACAGTTGATGCTGTAAATACTGCTGGTTAAAATATTATCAGAAAATAGGGTCCATTTAAGCTCTCTTACCTTTTCATTACTTCCAATTTCTTATATGTTGAAGCAAATCAGGTTAATGCACTGCAAATGGAATCCAAATTTTTTAAGTGGGCAAACAAAAGCCTAAGGCCGCAAATAATAACAAAAGCCAAAGGTAGCTTAGATTTAGCAGAAAGTTGAGGGTAGTGGATGGAGTTCTCATTATTGTGTCAAACCTTAAGTGGCTTCCAACTTCTTCATATAATAATAATATTGAGTCATTTATTAACTCCTTTTGTATGCTAGGCAGGCTAAGAGCTCTAGTATCACTTCACTCAATCCTTAATTGACCTTATGTAGGTACTTTGATTACTACATTTTACAAAAAAAAAGAAAGAAAGAAATGAGGTTTAATTCTTAGTGTCCATAGTCATGTAGCTAATAAGAAGTAGAGTGAAGATTTAACCTTAAAATGTCTGATTCTAAAATTCTTTTTTTTTTTTTAAAGATTTTGATTGAGAAATTGAGAGAAAGCGCATGAGAGGGGGGAGGGTCAGAGGGAGAAGCAGACTCCCCGCCGAGCAGGGAGCCCGATGCGGGACTAGATCCCGGGACTCCAGGATCATGACCTGAGCCGAAGGCAGTGGCTTAACCAACTGAGCCACCCAGGCGCCCATGATTCTAAAATTCTTAACAAAATTATGTATAACTTTGATTCTAAAACCTAAACATAGCATATATATGAGTCTCCATGACTTTACCCCAGTCTTCCTCTTTAGCTGAACACACACACACACACACACTTTGTCTAGACAGGTAGGACTACCAACTATCTTTGCATCACACATTTCCATTGTTCTTGTTTTTATTTCCTCTTATTATTTCACCTGAATACTCTTCTGTGCTGATTAAAATCCTACATTTTGAAAGTTCTCATTATATATAGCCTTGCACAAAGCCCTCTCTGCACACCTGAACTAATTTCCCATCTTTGAGTTTATTCACATACCACTTTATATCTTCCTAAAAATACTGGTCACTTTTTGCTTTTTAGTAACTTATGCATAAGGAAACTGGGGCCCAGGTAGCAACTTGTGCAAAATCGTTTAAGTCATAAATTGGTAGATCCAAATTTCCAACAGAGTTCTGATTCCCAAACCTGTGTTCTTTCTGTTATAACACACCTACTCTCATAAAAGCCAATAGTCTAGTGAAGATTATTAGGATCTATTTCCCCTTTCATATTACTGTAGTGGTTCATGTCTCAGGGTTAGATCAATTTAGGTTCAAATAATGATAGATACTGATAAGCATCTGATCTAAGTTAATTGAACTCTCCAAGTTTCAGTTTCCTCTTCTGTAAATTCAAAATATGGGTAACATGCTTATAAAAATTTAATGAGATACTGTATAAATCTTTTAGCAGAAGGCCTGTTACCTACCAGTTGCTCGATAAATGCATTAGTGCCAATATTAGTTATTATTTTTAGATGGTCTCTTGGCATAGTCCAGTGCAAATTCATTTTTATGTCAGTATTTCATAGTAGCTGTACCTTGACATGGGACACTGTAGTCAGACTTATGTGTGATTATATTCATTGCCTCAAGATTGAATCTCATGACTATAGTACAAATAGTAAGCAAGATGAGATCCTGTGGTTGTTATTCTAAAATTTAAAAGAGTTATTTTCTTAAATCAATATATGTAAAGGCTTCCTATTTGTTTATGCTATGAATTGGCCATTGTGTATAATGTAATGTCATTTCTTCTGGCTGCATGCAGGTGTTGGTTGGCCTATCATTTCCTTAAAAATTATATTCAAATCATATTTTCCATTAAAAGGAGAATAATAACCTTGAAGGTTTAGACTTGAAAATCACTAATGGAGCTCTGCACAGTAGGAACAATGAAGTAAAATTGAGCAGAATAGCAACTAAAAGTCCATTTGCCCAAACTGATTCAAAACTTGTTTTCACAAATAGGTAAAGCCAACCGTTAGAACAGTCATGTGGAACATTTTCCTTGTACAGGATGGATGCTGGAAAAAAAAAATCTGTAGAGTATCAAGGATATAGTATATTTCTACAGAACAGAATGCATTTATTGGTATTCTCCAGATGAATGTGATAAATTCGTGCAAAGTTAAAACTGATTTATCCCCCTAGACTGAACATTTTAAGGGTCCAAGTTAATTTGTGGGGATAGTCAATGAACAACACTCATCCACAAATGTGTGAGCATTATTTTGAACAGGAGGTCCCTAGGTATGGTGATCAGAAATGAATGGTAAAAAAAAGGCAATAATCAGAGTGGCCTGAGAAGATGAGTGGGAAACTGATTGTAGAAGGATATGAGCAATAGTGTTACAGAGGGCATATTTTGTCCTGACAACTGTAAGATTTGACATGAAGAAGAGGTAAAGGAAATGAAGAGTCACTTGTCATTTTCATCTCTCGCTTAGGAGAGTACCTTGTGACGTGACTGAAGAGCTGAATGTCCCTGTGGGAACGGTTTAGATAATTTTGGTTAGTGAGTAGAAAGTTCTCAACATTTTTTGTCTACTCCCAGCACACAGGTGGGATGAAGTGTACTGCTGTTGATAACAGGAACTCTCTATGGCAGTGATTCTCACCCTGGGGGCAAGGTCCCCAATATTCAAGGGGGCAGGCAGAATCCATGGCCCCACTGAACAAGCCTAAGTTAAATGTGATACATACTTTCCTCTTCGGCTGAAAACTAAGATTTCTTTCTTACCCATTATTTATGAACATCTTTTAAATATGAGTAGATCTGCATGTATTATGAGAAGGGTGGTTGTGAATCTAAGTTTTGACATCCCAGAGCATCACAACATTCTTAAAAATGAATTTTAATTTACTTCAGTAAAAAAAATTAGCACATCTCCTAGCATTTGCTGGAAAGATGAAGCAGTGGGTGTTTTAAAATAACAAAAAGGCCAGGAATTACTTAGAAGACAACACAGATATTGTACTTAAATCTGATAAAGCTAAATGGAGAAGGATATTCCTTGTATTTAATGTTTGATGTGAATGTAAATAGAAAACTATTAAGAATATAGTTTTATATTTATATTTAATATACACATATAAGTTGATGAATAGTAATAGTAGTGATGATTACAACAACTACCATGTATAATAGATATTATGAGTTGATCACTATTTTAAGTACTTTACATGTTAACCTACTTAATATAGCAACCTAATAAAGCAGGTATTATTATCATCCTCATTTTCAGAAGGGGAGACGGAAACAAAGAGTAGAAAAGCATTTGTCTAAGATTGTCCAGCCTTTGAACCTGGACAGTCTAATTCCAGGGTTGGGGAGAATAGGGGGTAAAAAGAGAATTGAGTTTAACGTCCATGGTGTAGAAGTAAAGGTAAAGAGGCAAAGAAAAATATAAGACCAAAGTTGGGGTAAACATACAATGGGTGAGATCAACTACTTGCCAGAGGTGCCATCCTTTCCCTCAAATGGATGTATTAGCTACAGATTTCTGAAAAACTGAACTCTTAAAAATAAAGTTTAAGGGATAATTACTGGATACTAAGCATACCCAGTGTTTATTTTTAAAATGCTATGCCTGGAAGGGAAAAATGAAGGGGGGGAAATCAGAGGGGGAGAGGAACCATGAGAGACTATGGACTCTTGAGAAACAAACTGAGGGTTCTAGAG